GCAGATAAATTAGATAATAATTTCATCTATAGTCTGAGTCTCATTCTTGTAAAAAATTTGTAAATTGGCTCTGGCCTATGTCAACTCATGTAGTTGTCTGTAACAAATTATTAATAAAGATAAAGACAAAACCTCACCTTAATACCAAAAAAAAAAAAAAAAAAAAAAAATAACTAGTATACATAGTACATAGTAGGCTTAAATAATTATAAAAAAAGACATATCAAAGTCATAATATAAAAAAAAAAATCAGTTAATATATAAATCATTAAAAAAATAATTAGAATATTACTATTATATCTAAATAGATTTGATATTAGCAACTATAGTATAATATAATTATTTAGAAAAAAAAATAATTTTTCAGTTTATTCATTTAAGAAAAGTAATACTACCAACCTGTTCAAGCTTTACTACTATTTATGAAAAGCCTCATTATTATATACAAAAAGGTCTATTACTACTTAAGAAAAGCCTACCACTCACCTATTCAAGAACAGACACTACCTATTCAAAAACATATATTATCTATCTAAGAATACATACTACTTACTCAAAAAAATATATATCATTTACCTACTCAAAAAGCAATATATGTCTATATAAAAAAAATGATTTTTTTTTTAACATGCTATAGCTTCATTAAAGAAAAAACTAATGTTATAACTGTAGTATCACTAGGTTCTTGGCAGTATATTCAAATTAACTTAGTTGATTTTGTAATTTTGCTAAAGAGAATTATAATTTTTTGTAACTACTTACTTGTATTTGTATGTTTTTTAAATTTTTTATTGCAGTTCTAATTAAAAATAAGAAAATAAAAACAGTTGCAGCACATCTTCTTTAAGATGTTTTTAAGATTCTTGAACCTTCTATAGTTCTTCAAAATGATAACAGTAAAAAATTTAATGCAAATATAATTATAGAAGTTTGTAAGTCCTAAACATTATAATTAGACATGGTTAACCCTAGTACTCACAGTTATAAGGACAAATTGAGCAACTTAATTAAACTGTGGATTATGGTTTTACTAAGTTTCTTCAGAATCAAAATAATCAACTGCAACAAAAAGACTAAATTAATGTATTTGTTACATCGTATAACTTGAAAGTTCAAACAATAAATAGTCATATGTTACATAAAACACTCTTTAAATAAAAGATGTATTGTGTCTATAATATTTCTAGCATAACTGATTTATTAATATTCAACTTGTTAAATAAATAGAGTTAAGTTAAATTTGAAATAAATAAAGTTAAAATTCTTAGATAGAGTAGTGTTAGAATTGTTAAATTATGTTCAAATAAGATTAGATTAGAATAGAGTTAAAATAGGTTTAGTAATATTCAAATAGAGTTAGATTAGGTTAAAGTTAGAATAGAGTTAGAGTAGTTATAGTTAGGGCTCATTATTGGAGTTTTAAAATTATAATACTTATCTTTTTTTATAATAAGTGTTCTTAGAAATATTATTGAGAAAAATATTACTAAACTGCTATAACTAAAACCTTTATAACTAAAACTATCACTACTAAAACCAATATTACTATAACTAGCATTATCAGAACTACTATTACTACTATTATAACTGCTGATGCCATTATCAAAATTGCTATCTTCAAATTTATTGCCAATTAAATTACTATCAGTAAAACTACTACTATTTCAAGCTTTTGCTTCTAAAGCTTTTATCCAAATTGTTGAATTTAAAGCTGTAGAAGAATGTATTTTACAAATGTTAGAATTTAGCAAGTACATCACTTGTAAAGTATTGTAAAAGTATATATTGATATGATAGTGTACATAAAATAAAAAATAACTAATAACACAATTAAAGCTAAAGTTATTATTGCTATTATGCCAGATCATGATATAAATCTGCATGAAGTTACAACTATTCTTTTCTTAACAAGGTATATTTAAATTACTTATATTAAATAATTAAATAGTGATTGTTAAGATAAATGATAAAAACATTTAAATTTTTATTAAGTAAATTAAAGCTATATAAAAAACGTTGTGCCTAATTGTAATAGCATTTAAATGAATGAATAAATAAACAAAGCTTTTTTTTAAGACTTTTTTTTTAAAAAAAATGGTCAAAAAAAATAATCTATTTTTTTTTTAAACCAAAAATTTTCTAGAATTAATAGATTTTTTTATAATACTTTTTTTTTGTAAGCTGATAGCTTGATTTTTTTTATAAATAAAAATAAAAATTTTAGGATTATTATATATCTAGATTATATAATTATGTTATTTGAACCATTTTAGCATTACTAATTTTAAAATTTACTTTAAAATTTAAAATCTAGTATAATATAAAATCAAATTAAAACTATAATATCTGAATATTAGATTTTAAACTAAGTTCTAAACCCTAACTTAAGAATATAAAAACTTTGATTTAGTTTAATTCAACTCTAAAGATTAAGTCTTTATTAAGTTTAGTTTCAAGTCAGACTTTGAACTCATTTCTTATTTTATATACAACTTATTTATTTAAATATAATGCTAAAAGGAATATATATATATAAATACTAGTGATACAGGCCAGCCCTGGCCCAACAGCCAGGTTGATGGGTGGGTTAACTCTTAGCCTATGTTTTTGTGAGACAGGTGGGCTGAGATAGGGCAAATTTTTTTTAACCAATTATAATGCTGCAAAATCATGTGTAAATTGATTATTAATATATATAACAATATCTTAGAAATTTTAGTGTTCAAGCAAAGAAAATTTTTTAAAATTGAATAAACTCTAGGCATTTCAAATTGAGATAATATATAATATCTAGTTTTTGCATAATGTAATTATATATAAAGAATGTAATTAAAAATAAAGATCAATTCTTATTATTGTTATACCAAATTAATATAGATATATATGTTCATTATTCTAACTATATATACTATCACTATCAGAATAATTTCTAATCTTATGACAATAATTCATTAATTTGTAACTAAAATTTAATTTTAACTATACTTTATAAACTTGTACATAACAAGTTCATATTACAAAAAAAAGAGTTTTTTTTGTATTGTTTACAATACAATTATGTATTATTTAAAACTAGCAATTCAATATTTATCTTTTAAATTTTTTACCAAAAAAATTTTTTTATAAAAAATGTAAATTAAATGAATTCATTATGATGTATCTTTTATTTTATAAATGATTACAAAAAAACATTACATCTGTTTACAAACAAACAATAATCAAATTTGTACTACTTCTAGTTCTTAAGAATTATCAAATGAAGATGATATTAAATTGTTTGAACACATCACAAAAAGATACAAAAAACTAATCAATCTGAACAAGATTTTTTGATTGATAGTAATAAATCCTTAAAAGAATTAATGATTCAAGAATTTGATAATATTAAAACTTTAATGTTATCTAATTCTTTGTTACAAGTTCAATATCAAACACAAAATATAACTAATAAAAATAAAAATTGTAAACAAGTTACTTTTGATTAAGTTCTTAAAGTTTTTAACATTAATGTATTATCAACTAATATAGTTAAGTTTAATAATTCAAAAAATAGTTGGGTTTGGAGTTATATACAAAAAGATAAATCAAGCAATAAAGTTGTATATAAAATAATTATAGCTAGTTTAGATGAATATAAAAAATTATGATAAAACTTATAGTATTTTAACTTTAATCACACATTTTGGTGAACATTTTAACACCATTCATTAAATTTTTCCTTCTAAAAAATATATAAAAATTTGAAATAACAAACTATAGTTAGGTCAGATAACTTAGTTAAAACTATATCTTTTATGCTTTTAAAAATAGACTTTCATAAATCAGCAAAGCAATAATGATTAATATTTCATTTGATAGCATAGATAGTTAAAGACTGTCAACCTTTAACAGTTGTAGATAGACAAGAGTTTCATCAATTTTGTTATAAAATGGACTCTTAGTTTCAAGTTCCTAAAGCTGCATTAATTAAAACTAAAATACATGAATCAGTTATTTTTGCTGAAAAACAGCTACATGATTTAATGTTAAATACAATAGAGACATTTTCTTTTACAACTGACATGTAGACAAGTATGCATCATCCTTATATTGATGGAACAATTCACTGGCTTTCCAAAGATTTTGATTTATATTAAGCAATTTTAACAATACAAAAATTTTCTTATTTATATTCAGAAGAATATTTAGAAAATTTTTTATCAAAATTGTTTAATTATTAAAATATATATAATAAATTAATTAAAGAAACTACAAATAATAATAAATTAACTATTAAAGGAATGCAGCTTCTTGATGTACCCCATATACATTGTACTGCTCATACAATTTAACTAGTAATTAAGAATAGACTTAATGCATGCAATAATCTTTTAATTAAAGCTAAAGATTTAAATAATTAGTTAGTAAAGAGAGATAAATATCTGCAAAATCTTTACAATATTCAAAATGAACTTATTCAATCTATAGCTAATATTTTTGATGATAAATAGCCATTGTTAGAAGATGAAACTTTAGAAAAATTTGAGGATTTATTTAAGTCAGCACAACAAATATTTAATACAGAATCTTCACTATCTATATCAAACCTATTATCTATATCAAAACTATCATTTATATCAAATCTATTACAAAAAAAATCAAAAAATAGTAGAGGGTATTTGTAATGTGAAGACCAGATGAAACTTCACTTACTTGGTTCTAAAAAGATTAGTTCAATTACATGATGCTATTAAGCAACTTGCAAAATCATTATGTTAATATTCTGAAATACAACAAAGAAAAGATGATCAAAGCTTATCTAATAAATTACTTTTAGAAAATAAATGAAAAAAATTAGAAGAGTTAATAACACTTTTAGAACTCTTTGCACAAATAATAGAATTAATTGAAGGATCATATTATTCAACACTAAGTATAATGCTTCCTATTATTTCACATTTATTTGCTTATTTAAAAAAATAAAATTGTTATTTGTTTTATCTAATATTTTGGATATTTGTTATAAAATTAAGGATTCTATGTCTATTCATTAGGAAGATCCTCCAATAGAGTGTTATATTTCTTCTTATCTAGATCTCAGATTTAAAAATATGAATTTTATTAGTAAAAAAAAAAAGAATGTATTCAAAACAAATTATTAAAAATGATTAAATGTTAACTAATATGATTGATACTTCAATACAGACAAAAATGAATTGTTTTTTTGATGAAGAGATTCAAGTAAAGCATTTAATGAATGATGAATTAGAAGACTATAAAACTATTACACAAATGAACAAATATCAAATTAATCATTCACTTTACAAATCTCATAATTCTCTTTTATAGTAGCATACAAATAAATATGACTTTCCAAATCTAGCAAAAGTAGAACAAAAATTACTTTTATTTCTAGCAACTTTAGTACTCTCAAAATATTTATTTTTAAATGCTGATAATATTCTTATAAATAAATAGAATCAGTTAGACCCAAGTACAGTTCATGATATATTATTTTTAAAAACTAATTCCAAATTATTCAATGTTTATCCTGAAATAGAATAAAAAAAATTATTGAAAATATATAAATATATTATATAATTTAATAAAATTTTAATAATATTACTTATTTGTTAGTTAATTCTAGTAAATATTTTTATATATAATTATATTTATAAAATAAATTTAAACATATACAAAATGTATCTATATACTAAGATTTTAACGTTAAAAAATAAATCAGAAAGAACTATTTTTAATAACCTTTGTATAAGTTTAATACAAGAATGATCATAAATAACCTGTATAAATAAATTAAAAAAATAAAATAAGTTTTTATATATTAATCTTATGAATTAATTAATCAAAATAATATTTTATAAATAGTTAATCTGATTAACTAGTCCAAGCTTTTTTAATATCAGCTTGGCCTGTAAATTTTTTATCAACCTGTATTACTAATAAATACATATTTTTTTTAGCTATATTTAAATATTCAAGATGGATATAAAATATGAGTCAAGTTTTAAATCTGACTTTGAACTTGTAACAATATAATAATTTCTTCATAATTTTTATTTTTTATTATTTTTCTAAGTCTTTTCTTAAATATATATATATATAAATTTAGCATTATCTAATTAAAGATTCTGCTTATAGTTTATCTACTAGATATTATACCTAATACCTGCCTTTGAGTCTCCTATTTAAACTTTTTAATTTTCAATATATATTGCATATACATGCAAAGCCTACATACTATTGTTATAACATTGCAGATTAGAGCTATCTTAGTTACTATTTATATCAAAATACCATCTCATTAGATGTTATTAAGTATTTATATTATTTTTGATGCAAGTTTACCTACAAAAATGACCATAACTCTTGAACTATTAAACAGGATTCGATGAAACCACCATTATTCAAATTAGCTTACTGAGATGGTTTTAATAAGATATAGATTATCTATTTCTGATTACAGGATCACAAGATCGAATCCAATAACCAAATTAATAAGGAAGCTGCAATCTGATTGGTTAAATAATGACTGCGCAAAATATCATACATATAATATATATAATATTTATGCATTTTGGAGCATCTATATTTTATATTATATCTAGTTTATA